TATAAGATCCGACCGCCTGAGGGTGAGGACGACGGTCTGAGGGCGAGATCCGACGGCCTGAGGGCGAGATCCGATGGATCAAAAGAATTAATAGATCATTAATATATATATAAATTGGTGTATGTTAACTAACTTCATTCAGTAACAGATCAAAAGAATCAGCAGCAACAAAATCCAATTTTTACGGGTTAAAAGAGATTTGTTAAGAAAATTATTGAGTGGGTATTAACTAAAATAAAAAACCCACTAGAAATTTGCAGGAAAAGTGCATGAAAATGGCAGATAAGAGCAAAAAGAAACGATCTTTGACCAACCTTGAGAGTGGAATATTCCGGCTGTGAGATCGCCGGAAATATCCCGCCGCCGTCGCTAGCGAGAAGGTAGAGGAGAAGTGGAGGAGACGAGGAGTTTGAGCACGAATTGTAGTAGTTTGAGGGAGGCGGCCTGAGGGCTGAGGAGTTTGAGGGAGGCGGCCTGAGCACGACTTGTAGCAGTTTGAGGGAGGTGGCCTGAGGAGTTTGAGGGCCGGAGTGGACTGGAAAGTGGAGAGTGGAGAGTGGAGATTGGAGAATCGTGGAGGTTGATGGAGTGGAGCACTGGAGAGTGGAGTGGAGGCGGCCTGAGGGCTGAGGGTGAGGGCCTAGGGTTTTTTTCTTTTTATTTTTGGTTTTGGGTTAGCAGGTTTGTAACTATAAATTTGGGACCCGATTACCCGAATCACTATTACATTACGGATATCCATATCCGCAACCCTCATATTCGTTACCGAATCCGTATCTGAAAAAATCCGAAACGAGATCCGTATCTTTTACCGTATCCGTCCGGTTTCAAAATTAGCCTACCATATCCGCATCCGTTCGGATACGGATGCGGATCCGGTCGGATATATCCGAACCGTTTGGCACCCCACCATTTATAACTCTCATTTATATGTAAATAGATTGGTGGTGCTTATAAATACACAAAAAATTAACATATGTCATATTAGAAAATTGAAGAGTAAACACATTTTATCCTATTAGAAGCTAGCATGTAGTCACCTAATCTTATATCCATTAAGAATTCTTATCAAATTAAATCTATTCATAATTAGCAAATTCTAATTATAATCAAATACTTAGCAATTCCAACCAAACTATAATTATCTATAAAAAAATCTAATAATTACTTTTTATTTCTCTTTTTCTTTACATATAAAAGAGGGATTAGTAGTTTAATATTAGCCTTACATCTCAAGAAGTTGCTCTATGTCCGCCCCTAATCTTTTAAATGCTAAATTTTACTAACCTTAAAAAAAGTTTGGGCATTTTAGTACTAAACTCCCAAATTTTTTGAGTTTCACTAATTGGCGGTAACAATTCCTTCTTTATGTATAAAGAGAGATCGGTGGTTTTAGCATTAACCCTCAATATCAAAAGACTGCCATGAAGCCCTTTTTTATTTTTTTAAACTTAATTTCATTAAAGCTCCAATAAGTTTGGTCGCTTGCTACTAAACCCCAAAATTTTTTGAAACTCTTGAAAAGTTTAGAAATTTTAGAAAAACCTTCAAGATATTTTGATGATTTGCAATTAACCAACATAACACTATTATCCCATAATTGTACATTGATGAACATTATCTCTCAAGCTAATGTGTACTTCTTAAATCATTACTATTTGCAGATTAATACATAAAATAAGAGACAATATCTGAAAAATATAAAAATTACAAATAGCTCCATTAAAATATGTAATTACAAACTATTGTCTAAAAAATCTAAAAATGACGAACAATCCCCTTTAAATTCCAAAGTTTGTAGATAACTCCTTGAAAAATATGAAAACTATAAATAAATTCATGGAAAGTATGAAAATTACAAACAACATCCTTTAAATTTTTTAAAAACTACAAACAACCCCTTAAAAAATTCTAAAAATTAAAAGCAACCCCCTTGAAAATCTAAAATTATAAAATTTACCTAAAAAAACTAAAAATTGCAAGCAAACCTAAAATCCCAAAATTACAAAAAAGCACCTGATATGTTTGAATACTGTAAATAGCTCCCTGTGAAACCAAAAATTATAAATAACCGTTATTGGGGTTTTTCTACCAAACATTTTTAGGGTTAAGTTAAAAACTAAAATTTTTTTAGCGCAATTCAATTTTTAGAAGCATGATGGGCAAAGGAGTAAAAAAAAAAAAACTCATATAGAACAAAAAAATAAGATATACAAACAAAAAAAAACCATGTCCACCCGTGTGCGAGCAAAATGCTCGTAATAGATGAAATACTAAAAATTCTCAATATATAATATTGTATTTATATTACCAAATCATATTTTCGACTTCTACTAACTATTAAACCTTAAAAAATAACTATGAATAAGTTGATAATATGAGTTATCAGTTTTATATACGTAGAGTAAGAATTTTATTTAGATCAGAGTTAACATAACCGAAGTTTTTTCCGGTCTTTTTTGATTTATATAGTTCAGTATTCTTTCTATAATTGCTTGCTATATTGTCTAAATTCTCTGAATTTTCTTAAATGATATATTGTAAATTTGGGTTTGACTATTAAATTTAAGTACATTATACATAAACGTGCACACCCACATGTAAAATATCCATACGTATGCAACCCATTTATTATTATTATTTTTTTCAGACTACACACCCAATATTGCTAATTCACGTCCCATAACTTGTTTTGGCGTTCCATAGCTATATTTTCTCTAGTTTCCTTCTAACGAGAGGCGCATGATAACTAATGATTTTCTAAGCTGTCAGAGTTGCTCAAATGAGCTGGCGTAAAATCATAGCAGGGTTGGGTCCAAGGGTTTAGGAAAGTCAATGAGCATGTTCAAGAAGTAAAATATTGCTTAACAAACCATTCCAAAAATCAATAATAAACGTCATTCTTCCTTTTGTTCTTTCTTGTGTTTGGTTCATTCTTAAAACTAAGAAAATAAAGAAGAGAAAATGAGCTGTCATTATATTATTGGATGATGTGACCCATACTTAGAAAAATCTATTTCCTTGTTTTTTTGGAGGAAATGGATGAAATGAAATTTTAATGAGATGTGATGAGTTGTCACCATATTATTGGATGATGTGGGTAATTTTTAAAGATGATAGAAAATGAAGGAAAGTTGGGTAAGATGAGTTAGATGGGTTGATTGATTTGACTCATTTCTTGTGTTTAGTTTATTTTTAAAAGTAAGAAATGAGATGTGATGGGATGAGTTGTCACAATTATTTTTAAAAGTAAGAAATGAGATGTGATGGGATGAGTTGTCACAATATTATTGGGGGAAAGTGGAGAAAGTGAAGGTGATGGGATGAGTTGTCACAATATTATTGGGGGAAAGTGGAGAAAGTGAAGGAAAGTGGGTTAAAGAAAATGGAGGAAGTGAAAAAGTGAAGGAAAGTAGGTTTTGGATTCTGGGGGAAACGAAACAAGCAGACCCTTAAATTCTCTCTCCTTCCATGTAATAAGTACACATGGTACAATTACTAGTTTTTAAAACTTACCCTGTCACACCAACCTCATTTTCTTTCCTTAGGGGCTGTTCGTTTCGCAAAAAAACTAGGAAATCAAAGAATATGATTTCTTGTATTATGGTTGTTTGGTTGGTTAAAAAAAGAAGGAAATTAAAGAATAAGAGATGAGATAAGATGAGTTGTCATCATATTATTGGATGATGTGAGTGATTTTTTAAGAAAACTTGTTTTGAAGTTGTTTGGTTGGTTAAAAAAATAAGGAAATGTATTATAAGAAACCTATTTCCTATAATAATTTCTTTCTTGTGTTTGGTTCATTCTTAAAAATAAGAAAATAGATGAGATGAGATGAGATGAGTTGTTTGTATATTATTGGATGATGTGACCCACACTTAAGGAAATCAATTTTTTTTTTAAGAAATGGGTGGAAATAAAATATTAATAAGATAGGATGAGTTGTCACCATATTATTGGATGATGTGAATGATTTTTAAATATGAGAGGAGATGAGTTGAATGATGTGACTCATTTATTGTGTTTGGTTTATTTTTAAAAATAAGAAAGGATATGAGATGTGATGAGTTGGTGGATAAAAATAATATTTTATTGATAAAAATGTATAGATTTCTTTTTATTGGGATGAGTTTTAGGGATGGAAATAGATTATAATAATATTTTAATACAAAAAGTACATGGAAATCCTTTTCTTGGTTTTTAGGAAACCAACCAAGGGCCAAACAAACAGCCCCTTAGCAAATCAATTCAATTATGCTCCATTAGTGGAAATTGAAGAGCCAATTCCAATAAGGGGTTGTTTGCTTGCCAAAAAAAAAGAAGGAAATCAAGGAATAGGAAACCTATTTCCTTAAAAAATTGTTTTATGGTTGTTTGGTTGGTTAAAAAAAGAAGGAAATCAAATAATAGGAGATGAGTTGTCACAATATTATTGGATGATGTGAGTATTTTTTTAAGAAAAGTTGTTTTGAGGTTGTTTGGTTGGTTAAAAAAGAAGGAAATCAAAGAATAGGAAACATATTTCTTATAAATAGGTTCTTCTCTTGTGTTTGGTTCATTCTTAAAAATAGGAGATGAGATGAGATGGGTTGTCATTATATTATTGGATGATGTGACCCACACTTAAGGAAATCAATTTCCTTGTTTTTTTGGAGGAAATGGGTGGAGATGAAATGGAGATGAGATGAGATGAGTTGTCACAATATTATTGGATGATGTGGGTGATTTTTAAAGATGAGATGTGATGGAGATGAGATGAGTTGGATGATGTGACCCGTTTCTTTTATTTGGTTTATTTTATTGGATGATATGAGATGAGTTGTTGGATGAAAATAATATTTTATTGGATGATGTGGATGAGTTATTGGATGAAAATAATATTTTATTAGATGTTGTGGGTAAGTTTTAGGGATGGAAATGGTGGAAATAGAAATTTTGGAGATTTCCAAGCTCCAATTTCCTATTCTTGGGTTTTTGGAAACCAACCAAACAGCCCCTAAAGTGCTGATAGAAAGTAATATTACACAAACTTGACAGCTGTAGCTTTGGCCAACATTTTGTTCATTCGATTCAGAATCTTAGACCAAATGAAGGTTAACAAATAACCCCACAAAGAGCATTACCAAAAAAGGAACATGTCAAGCAAAGCTCCCTCAAATGATCACTTTAAACAAATCAAAGTTGTATTTGTACCTAACAAGAAAAGGAGGGCAAAACAGGCTTCATTTCTTGGGGACCTCTTCTCCAAACACATAGCAAGTCTCCCTTCATTGTTGTTGTCGTCGTCATCCAAGTAATTTTCTTTTTTCCTTCATTTGGAAAGCAACATTTAAATATCATAATAAAAGATATCTTTAATCTTTTGCTTCATATTTGTCAATTTCTACAGCTTGAAGGTATCATTTTGTGGACTTTCCCTGATTAGGTAACTGGTTTTCCAATGAGGTGAACATGAAGTTGCCAGAGTACAGAGCTTCCTTCTCTGTAAACAGAACAGGAGCAATTTGCTTCGAAATTTCAGTCAGACAAAAAGATACATAATTAAACTAGAAATAGAATAGGGTTTACCTGTCATTGACAGGCATGTGGACTCCCTACAAGTATATCTAGCCATTGCCTAAAACAAAAACCAAAGCTTTATTTCAATAAACAACAAGTAATAAATTGTGGAGAAATCTGAAAATTAGTTAAGCGGACCAATAATTTATTTTCTGCGATGGGTCCTACAATATACTTTTTTATATTGGTAAAGGTTGAAGGTTATAATTTTATATTCTAACATGACCCTCACATGCTCGGCCTCTTTTTATGAGCCAAAATCTGGACTCTAGCAGAGGTGTTGAGTTTTTAAAACTCTGTTTCAATTCGAGGACAGTTGGATTTGAACCTAGGTTGGTGTGCTACCACGTCAAACCTCCTTGCCACTACACCGATACTTTGAAGTTGCAATGAGGGTCGAGGGCTATAATTTTGTATTAAAAAATATAAAATTCAAGCAAAAAATATCTTACATGGAGCCGACAGAGAAAAGAGATATTATTGGTCTAAATAACAAAATTTTAAGTTTTATCTACAACTAAGGATGTGCAAATTTTAGCCAGCACAACCGTATGCTCAATGATGAAAAAAGCAAACTCGCCTGGACAGCAGGAGCAGCCACAGGATCTGACAACTGTGAGCCATCTTCTGAGAAAACGTTCCTGAAAGAAAATCAACATGAGCTTAGCAAGGAATTGCAATGACCCAAAAACAACATTGAGAAAGCCAAGATTTTTTATTTTTTTTATTTTTTTATGTATGTATGGAAATACTTGGAAGTACCTTATGCTAAAAACTATATCTACTGCAATTATATTAAGATCGAGATCACATAAAACTTATGATCATTTTACGACAGCTTTGTCTAAGCTACAGCACTGTTTCAGAATAAAGCTAATGAAGGAAAACAATCTCAGAAAGTTATGCTAAATACCTAAATTTTTTAAAGAAAAATAGAATAGGAAAAACTTGCAATAAACAAGTTCATCCATAAAACGAAAGCACAAAATAAATAAGGATTAGCTAAATTGCATGGAATAACATGCAAGCATGTATATGGAGCTCCCGAGGCACAAGAGATTTATATTCGTAGCAACCATGATATATAAGATGTTAAGTGCAAGCAGGAGAAGTGTTATTATGCAGGCAAGTATATAGCCATATTCGTGCATGAGAATGTGCAATAATTAAACAGCGATGTCTGTGGTAAGGTTGGTGTAAGCCCCTCTGAGAATTGAGGCATTTGTTATTGAGTAGAAAGAAAAGTCGTATTTAGTTTTCTAAAAAGAAAAAAAACTGAAATATTTAGGAGCGCTTATATATCCTTTAGAGTTGGGTTTCCCTTTCATTTGGTTTGAGGCTATATTAATGAGGTGCACCTAAAATTAATACATCTCTACATATTGCCTGGTCTAAATTCTATAAAGGTTAGCTAATTCTCTGACATTAAATATAAATGTCCGACACAGAAGAAAGCCAGGTACAAAAATGCCAAATGATAAACAAATTATGGGTACAGGCGTTAGAAATCTATTTCTGTTTAGTCTGTGGCATTGCTTAGATTTCATCACACACAGTTGATATTTAAGACCACCTGTACTAGGCATTTCAAGCAAACATCCGTATTCAACCAATTTCTAAACAGATTTTGAACTTAGAACTCCATGTCCTTTTTAATACTCAAAGAAACAGCTAGCCTTGTGCTATTTCCCTTGATAACCAACTTCTTTTTTACAAAACTGCTAGAAAGAAGAGTTAATTGTGAATAGAATCCCTGTACTATCACCCAATTGCAAATAGACTGCTGTAGTTATATTTGTGCGAATAGACCCTCTGAGTGAAATTTTTTAGTCTTAAAATCATTAAAAGGTTTTGAGGAGGTGGATAGACACCCTATAGTTCTATTGGTGAGGATAGATGCCCAGTTGCTAAGCTTTTCTGAGTTTAAAAAAGTCGAAAAACTTCAGTAAGGGGATGTATTCGCAATTGGGCCAATACTACAGGAGGTCTACTTGCACAAATAGAACTACAGGGGGGATTCACAATTGGCTGATACTGTAGGAAATCTATTCGCAATTAACTCAACTTTTCCTAACATGTCCCGTTTGGCTCACTTTTAGTCACCACTTGTTCCACCAACAACCCAACTAAAGTTTAAAGGCAATGTATGATCTTGCTCCTCAAAGGAAATGTATGTTCTACTGACCCTACTGAGAGATTTTGTATCCGTCTTAACAGAATGAAGCTTTTTGTAAATTGATCCAATCAGTATAAAGTGAATGGAGAATATCATTTCAAGTCATCAAGAATGGCTAAATACCCATATTGGTATTTTAGTTCAACCTCATTTGTCAAAAAGGTATTTTAAATAAAAAAATCGGCGTTAAGGTATTTTAATTGATTAAAATTACCAATTAGGTCCTTTTTCTCGTCGGCGACCACTTTTCCGGCGAGAACTCGTCACGTGCGTGACACGTGATGACTTAATCTGTATAAATACCCATATTGGTATTTTAATTCAACTCAATTTGCCTAGAAGGTATTTTAAATAAAAAAATCGGCGTTAAGACATTTTAATTGATTAAAATTACTAATTAGGTCTTTTTGCTTGTCGGCGACCACTTTTCCGGCAAGAACTGGTCACGTGCATTTTAATTCAACTGGTTTTCTGACGTGGTAGTGGCAGGAAGAATAATAGTCGATGCATTTTAAAATCCCCCATTTCTAAAATTGATAAAAAATTTAGCGAAACCGAGCCACATCAGCAAACCGAGCCACATCATCAGCTAAAACACAGATTAGGTCATCACATGCCACACACGTGTCGAGTTCTCACCGGAAAAGTGGTCGCCGACGAGAAAAAAGACCTAATTGGTAATTTTAATCAATTAAAATGCTTTAATGCCGATTTTTTTATTTAAAATACCTTCTTGGCAAATGGGGTTGAATTATAATACCAATATGGGTATTTAGCCCATCAAGAATTGATTATTGTTTGACAGGAGCTTTCTATGCAATTGCAGAAGATGAGAGGAAGCATACCAAGTAAGAAGCTTTTAAAATGTCTTGCCAAAACTCTTTCTAAACTCAAAATATCTTACCTCACATTTCCATGATTAATTATCTAACAGGATTTCAAGCATGATCATGACAGCCGAGTTTACCTCCATAGGACATTCACAAGTTCATCATTTTTGGCTTCGGGACTGAGAGCAGTGTCATATGCAATAATATTTCCATAAAATATCTTCTCTAACTCCTTCATCCATTTTGTTAAGAGTAAGTTAACCTGCAATTCAGAAATTGTCAGCAAAAAAATTAACCAGATCTCAATTCACCCAGTGGTTAGATTTATCAAAACTAGAGAAATCATGAAATTAACTAAAAAAGGACCAACTGAAGATCTGAAGCTCAATTATTCAATGAAATTCCTGTTACATGTAGAAGTAGAATTATTAAACACACAGCCTATATGGTTGACATTGAATCAATTTGATGACATCTCTCCTTGGATAAACTACTTGCTTCCAGAAAACATCAAACATCATTATGTTCATTCTCCATTTGTTCAATTAGTCATTGTATGGATCCTCTTAATTCATTATTTCACAAAAGAATCAAACAATTTTCAGCTACAGGTTCGAAGAAAAGAGGTAACTTGCTAAAGTAGTAAAGGAAAACTGAAGTTTGAACCCTGGAAGTGGATTGAAGCAAACTTGTTTCCACCCCAGAATGTTGATTGCTAAATTTAAAGTGATGTACTAGGAGAATCAAGAAAGAAAAAAGTTTACGGAGCATAACCCCAAAATTTAGCATAGAAGGTTTATTGTTGGTGCTATCATTATTGTTCTTTTTTAGCCTACCTATGCACAGATATGGTAGTTTGCCAATTATGAAATAGATGTTGAATGGTGAAAACAATCATCTGACTAACCCAATGTTAAGGCTTTTCTTGTTGTAACAATATATGTTGTAAAAGAGGACACGAATTGTATAATAAACATCTGGCTTATTCCCTCACAAGATGAACAAAGTATGCTGTTGGTAATTATCCATTGGTTGTGCCTTACCGTGTTAGTTATATATGTAAAGCAGCTATTTCATAGATTCCTTCCAATACTTGCTCACTCTTTTAGTAATCACCCATAAGAGAATTGTCTCTACATCTAGTCATCAACTCTTTTTAGATTATTATAATTATTCTTTATGTAATTTCTAAAATCTGATCAATTTCTTCTTCTCTAGGCTTAGTTTTTCTCTTAGGGGGAAAAAATCCGTGAAGTGTGTCCAATGTCCGTGGTAAAAATTTTAATATAGGATCAACTCTAAGATAAAAATAATATAGGCGAATAAATAAATGTACTGTCTTCTGGTTTCACATCGTATCAATTCATATAAGCTTTAAAACAATGAGAAAATTATTACTCAGGCATTATTGGTAGATTAAAGAAACATTATACGCTAAACTGAAACATAATAAGTAATATTTCAATGTAAACATACAAGTCGTACAATGACAGAATCTAGCTGATTGAATGGAAATTTGACTTAATAATCCCCATATAAAATAATTGAAATAATCAATATAGTCACTGACCCCAGCTTTTGATACTCTCAACTCCAAATCGTGATTGTAAATCTCATATAGATATTGCCCAAATTCAGCTCCTTCATTTCCTTCCTCCTTCATTCGGCGTAGGAAGAGCCACATATGAAGCACAAGCAAAGCAAATGTAGTTTTAAATGTTTTCTCCAACTGAAATACTGCAACAACCATAGCTTACAGTTAACAACTTGAAATTGTTGATTCATGCACAATTGACTCAATCAAGTCAAAATCTGTCATAGACATACAATTCTTGGTATAAACAAATTAATAGCTAATAGACATGAACACTTTGATTCCTCGTCCTTCCTCAGATTCGAGCAATCCTAGGTCCATAATACCATATACTTAGATTAAACAGGAGCTAAATATTATATTCTAATGAAATGTGATAACAGGAAGAAATTATCAATGCCCCATGAAAAATAATCGACCAAAATCGCAATAAAGAACCCTCCCTCCTTCCCTCCCTCTGTTATAAAGATTTTGCTGTCGCTGCTCAAATAGGATCAATTAAACATCAACATAATAGTTGAACCCCAGAAAAGAAAAGTCATTATGCTCCTGCCTATACTACTATTAGAGGTAGCATGTCCAACTACATATATAAGTGCTCCACCTTTAAAAGCCAGAACTTACACTACAATGCAATAGAGAAAAACTCATGAAATTAAATTCTTAAGCAGCACTTTTCCTGCAAATAATTTAAAAGAAGCTAAATACTAATAACTTCTATAACGATGGTAAAGGAATGTTCTACACAGATTTTAATAGAACTTGGCTCATCGCCTAGACTCCTATATTCTGGGTACCAAGCCCTCCTCTTCCCATAGTGAATTTGGCTAGAAGTTCTATATTAATTGGCCACTGGATGATACAAAGATTGGGTGCTGTTTGATGAACTGAACTTTGTGTATGCATGTGTTTGAAGGCTTGAAGCCAAACACTTGAAGGGAAAAACCAATATTTTTTTTCTCTCAAAGTTAACTGATTTGTCAGATATCCAGATTAGCCATCTATCTGCTATCACTGCCACAAAGCAAGCTGATATACAAGTATGAATTAGTTGGTTAGATAATGAAGATATTTAATGAATACTGTTGCTGCACTAAAGCAACACATGCAAGCCGAATTAACTATGAATATTTAGATTCGTTGGGTACAAAGAAGAAAACACACCATCATAAATGGCAGGCTTATCAACCTGTGAAGTGATACGCCGATAAACCACATTTGCTCCTCGGAGAGATTTGCTTTGTTTGCTATAAAACAACAACAGCTTGAGCATAAAACGCCTGATGCCCTCATAATGTGGTTCTTCTATTCTTAGAGGAGAATGTGGAGCCAAGGATAACGAACAGGGCTTTGACCAAAACAATGCATTTAGTCTAACCTGTGAAAAACATGTAGAATCTTCATCCTCAATGCATCAAACAGGGGAGAATCCATATTAAATCCATAATTACATACAATTAAATCATAAAAAATGTAGATATAGACTTGTTGACAGATTGAAGCAGCAGTAATGCAAATTTCACTATAACTTCCATATCAACCAGGAGAACATAAAGATTTCGGGACAAAGATTTATGTAACCACGGGGTCTAATACTAGGAATAGAAGCAACGTAGAATGCATATGATGATCAAACATTAAGAGTAGAATATGTCAATCAACCAGAAAGAACCTCACTTAGATGGTAAGCCTACATAACTTGTGTCCTTAAAGGAATAAAATATCTAAACATCAAGGCTTCATGGTCACAACTAAGAGAATGATGTATGAATTCCTATATTTCTTCTTGATGAATCAATTGATACCATGTCTGAACATACTTCTTATATGGTCATCAAAGCTCAGCACAAACTCACATCATGCCAGCTTTGGAGCTACCTTGACAGATTTCTCTGTTCTCATTCCCTTAAATGCTCAACCATGTTTCTCACAAGTAGCAGTAACAAGAGGGACCACGTGCATACCTGAACAATAATTAGAATGGTGGTCCTACAAACCGAAAAGTACCATTACTACCTACATCAACTAGGAAGATTGCATATAAAAATATACTATCATGATATCCTTCCATCTAGAATTGAGCCTTGAAACACTAGATAAGATAAATTAATTAGTGCCAATTGCTAATTGCTTCTATTCAGAAACTTCATATCATGAAGATAGCTGTTTGGCTTCTGCTAGGCTGCTACCTGACTTCGTTGTTTTCTCTTTAATAGGTGGTCAAACTCACTGCAGTCAATAGTTTGATAATATGGTGCCAGAAAAACTGCAGCAATCAAAACTTGGACAAGCAAGCTGAGATGCATCAAACACTGGTTGTCGCTTTATCTGCTTCTCCATCAGTTCTTGCACAGGTTAACTCACTGACAACAAATTCTTACTCATTAAGAAAATCTTTAACTTTAAAATTAGGATATTCATGATAGCAATGTCCACTTTATTTTATGCTTTCTTACTTTATTAAAAACTACGACTAATTATATTTGAATGTCATGTAAATATTACACCTTCTAATGTATAGTCATTACAGGGTTGAAAGTTTTGTTCCCAGGACATGTTCAAATCTAGGCATTGAAGTTTCTTCCGAGTGGCTTTTGACAACGGAAAGTTCAACATTAAGCATTCAAGCATTCAAGCTTCAACGTAATAGGACGGAACGTTTCTTGAAAGTTCAACATTAAGCATTCAAGCTTCAATGTAATAGGACGGATGGTTTCTTCTAATGTATATTCATTGTAGATTTGAAAGCTTGATCAAACGCTATAGACGAGTGGCTTTGGATAGTGGTTGTCGTGATGAGTGAATCAAAGAATGCAAATACACTCCTAAGAGTTAGTGGCGATTCAAAGGAATTCAGTTTGGATGAATACAAAATTAATGGCAGGGTACTTGGAATTATGTTCAATAAAATAAGGGAAGCTACAAGTTAAGGGGTTCCCCCCAGAAAACACCTTAAAAATAGGGTAATTACAGGGAGAACACCTTTCAATTTCAATTTATACATAAACCATCTTTAAAGTGGGTTTTTGTTGCAACAATTTACTCACTAAAAACCCAAAATTATTCTTTAAAAACTCATATTCAAGGCATGTGAATCATTTTTTTAATGTTTAGTTCCTGTTAGGATACAACCATGTACCTTAAACTTGAAATTTCAATCTTAGTTTCAGTTTCTTTAGTGAAAATTTGAGTAGGAGGTGGTTGATTGCAACAAGAACCTACTTTAAAGATGGTTTACGTATTAATTGAAATTAAAAGGTGGTTCCCATAAAATTACCCTCATTTTAAGGGGGCTTCTAGGAAAAAACCCCCAAAAGTTATGCTAGATGAATGCTTTTAGTTTCGTCCGGTTTTAACTGTGACTACTTTGTAGTGCATATACTTTTGTTGTGCCATATCCAACCAATGTGTTCCAAGGCTTTTACAAGTGATGATATGAGATAAGGAAACTATCGAAATTGTGCAATAAGAGTACACCGAGTCAGATTTATAATTTATATAAATAACATTGAAGATGGAGAAAGTAAAAACAGAGAAGGTTACTGCTTGCTATCTATTGGATTTGGAAAGGACTTCAGTTGCAACTTGCAAAGATAACATTCCATTTTCTAACTGTCCTATAAATTTCTCGCTTTTTGAAGGAATATTCTTTAGTGCCATTATATTTCACTTCCATTCCAGTCTCAAAAAAAAAAAAAAAAATCTAATCAGGGTTAAATATCAAATTCAACACTATAAATCTGATTAAATAACCCCTAAATTAATCATCTTACTGAAATCAAAATAGCTGAAAGAACCACATGGACATATATTGTCTACCAATTCCCAAACTTCAAACAAAACAAAACAAACAACCCATCAGAGCGGCTACATTAGATTTCAAAACGCCAACTTTAAGAGCAAACTGAGCCATTCACAGAATAATTATAAAATTTATAAATTAAAAAAAAAGACTCAGATCAAACCTCGGGTTTGCTGAGCTGGGGATTTGGTGTCGCGGGCTTTGGGCTCGACGCGGCGGCGGCGGAGACTTTGGAGCAGCCGCGATCGAAGAGATGAGATCCTCGAAGAGATCCGAGGTGGGAGAAGCAAGAGGCCGCTCGTCTCCATCTCGCTAGCATTGTTTGGAGCGAGAGAGAGAGAGAGAGAGAGAGAGGAATGCAGCCGGTTTTGGATCTGATCGCATGTTTTACCCGATCCCATTAAGTTCGGGTTATTGGGTTTTGGGTCAAATGGATTCAACCAAACCCGAACTGAACCCCACTTATTACAAAACAGGAGAATTCTAGGTCCTCTTCTACCCCGTTCCTTCTCCGCTATCCCCAGCGACTCCCGCCGCCGATTTGCTCCGGCGAGGTTACAAACTGCAATACTTCAAATTAGGTATTATTCATTTATTTTGATATTTTTTTCCTTTATTGCATGATTTTCTTCGTTATTACTCGTAAAATTTCATCCGAGACCTAAACCCTAAACCCTAAACCCACCACCCTCTCAAAATTCTATCCTCGGGCTCACTTTTTTTCTGCTGTGGTCCTAGAATGGCTCCGGCTCGGAAGCGAACGAAACGATTTGAAGAAGAGAGTATGAGCAGCTCGGACGCTGGCGGCGACTCGGAGACCGAGATGGGGTTTGGTTCGGATCAGTCTGAGGATTTTGATCAGTTTGATGATGATGATGACGGCGGGAGTGATCCTGAAAGCAACAGCGACGAAGAAGATGAAGATGAGGCGGTAAATTTCGTCTTTTATCTGAATTTTTGGGATTTTATTGCGCTATTTTGTTGTTGTTGATAAATCTGTGGCTTTTTTGGTTCAGGGGGAGGATGAAGAGGAAGAGGGAAGTGGTGCTGAGGGTATTGGGAGGACGAAGGATGCAGAAATGGAGGAACTTGAGAAGGAGATGGATGATCTCCGCAAGCAACAGTAAGAATTTACATATCTTTTTAGTTATAATGACGTAAATTTGAGTATGTAGTAGAGAAATTTTACATATTTTTTTAACAGTTGTAGTGATAGGTACATTGCAAAAAGGGTGTCTACCTTTGCAATGTGCACTTTAGAAGTTGAAGGATTCTGTTGACATTCAATACTTAAATTTTCAGCTTTTTTGATGTAGCACAAAAAGAAGAATGATCTTACTGTTTGATCCTTGTAGTGCATTGAAAGTGCTTGAGTGGATGAGAGTAAAGGGCTGAGTCTATAGGTTAAAGTAAATGCACAGGAAGGTACAGTAAAAAGATTTTAACGGTAGTTTTGGCGGAAGTTCCATTACATATTGCAGGAGTGCATATCGAATCCAAGTTACATTGTCCATTAGGCAGTTTTTTTTCTTATTTAAAATGATAGTATTAAATATTGCATTTGAAATAGTTGCTGGTATGAATTTGAGCTTTGGATAAACTTTTCTGAAAGTTGTAGAGGAGTGAAGTCTGCTATACACAGGCAAAGCGTAACCGATTGAATTCTTTCTTAGAGGAACAAAACACAACTCTCTTACGCCTCTGAATATAATTAATTACATGGTGTGTGCATACTGCATAGATTATGTGATGCTGAGTTTGTTAGTATATCAATGTCCTAATCACACAAAGCTACTAAGAGATGGGTTTGAGAAGTTGTAGCATGTACCATTTTGTAATGAGCTATCTGCATTCAATGAGTGCGAGTGCCATTGATGTCAATCATGTAGATGGACGCTGGTGAGTCATTGAACTCTAGTCTGGCTCCAACCAACTTAACATAGCTAATGGAAAGTTTTAACAACCGTTTGCTTTCTACAAATAAAAATACCACAATCAGTGGAAATTTTATCATGCTTAAGAAGTTTGGAAAACATTTGCAGTAATTTTGGTTCGGATTCATCATACTGCTTGTCATGTGGACAACTGAATGTAATATTCCTTATTTTTCACAGAGATCTCCTGAATAATCTAAAGCGTCATAAGGATGAAGATGCTATTAAAGGTCAAGCTGTGAAGAACCAGAAGGTACTACTTGCATGACCAGGGTTGACTTTGCACTATTATTTTACTGTCTCCCGATATGCATAACCGTGTTTATGAATCTCTAGACTTACTCCATTAAGTGGAAGGTGATAAAACCCATAGTTTGACCAATGTCTGCAATTATTTTGTATGACAGAGACCATATTAGCTCCTTTATTTGTCACCTTTAACTCCAAATTTATGTAACTAAGTTTCCTACTAATTCTGCCAATTTCTTCTATTGACTATTATTCCTATTCACGGCCAAATCTAATCCACCAGGAGTCCCTTTAGCCTAGCAATTAACTACTTTTTATATATATTTCGCTCTTTAATGTTCTTTATTTTCCTACTGTTATTTAATATTTTAACTGCTGATCTAGCACCTTTCTTTCTTTATTTACCTTTTTAGCTAGGGGAATGTGAACAACTGCGATCTTGTCATTCAAGTGATTGTTATTGTAATTCTATTAAGAAAATGGCCTAATTATTTACAACATTGTTATTTATCACTCTTCAGAATGTATGAGAGTTTTTTTAGCGATACATATGTAGTATTTTAGATTTTACATATTTTGATTTATTTAAGTCTTAATAAACAATCATGATAGTAATGGATTTCTGAGATGTAATTTCGCATGAGACTAATGTATACCTTATCTTTCTTTAAATTGTTGGTTTTCTATGCGTAAAGCAATTGGGTGACAAGTTTATCCTTCTCTTTTGAAGGTGCTGTGGGATAGGACCTTGGAATTCAGGTTCTTACTGCAGAAACCATTTTCTAGTTCAAATAAATTGCCACAGGTATGCTTTTGCATACTGCTTCACATTCAACATTTATTCCATCGTCTTACGTTGACATGTTTTCTTTTATGCCCTTACTATAGCTTATTATCACTGCTGTTTTGCATGTATCAGGAGCCTATCAAGTCCTCATTTTGCAGTTCAGATAAGCTAGTTGATCAATCATACTCTGACCTGATATCATCATGTAAAGAGACTATAGACAGTCTGCTGGGACTGCAGGAGGTATGCTTCTTCCATTATGTGATGCAGGTTCCCTTTATTCATGCCGGCAGTTTACTGGTTATTTCTGCAGGCTCTGCTTGAGAAGAACCCGTCCATTCTTCAAGGCACAGGTATATAAATTATGTCATATTTTATTTGTCAATCTATTTATCTGTAAAGTTTTATATCTGTTCAGCGTCTGGTGTTTTCTTATAGTCCTTGTTTCTTACATACTTTTCTTTTGTCATATATTTGATGTTGTCACCTGGATTTGCACACTAGGCTGTTCATTTCTACTAATTTGTTTGTAACTTTTCTTTAATCTTAAGGGCCATGCTAGACGCTTGTTTGAAGTGTTCTATGTTTACTGTAGCTTATTTGCAGCATAATTTAGACTTGAATGAAATGAGAACTCAAAGATCTCTAAAACCTTGAATATTGTAATATTCTGAGGATTGAAGAATGAACAAAAGTACTAACAAAGAGTTGGACTATGCCATAAACTTGGTTTAAGCCTTCTTTGGTTTTGATACAGTGTAGATTACTAGTGAACAGATTGCTATGTAAATCACATAAAATATTTCTTCACGCGGAGGGTTGGCATTTGTCATTTGGCCCTCGTTCTTAGTAACCCGAATGATGCTTTGGGTGTTATTCGTTCAAAGAAGTGTGATGAGGAACCGACCGTGGAAATCTGTTGAGGAGATTTATTTGGATAAAAAAATAATAATGAAAACATTGAAATAGTATTATTCAATTAAGAAAAATTACATATGGATGAGCTTTACATTTGGACACTTCACATGCCGACAACTCACATGCATAATACTATCTGTAATTCACATATAGGGTAAGGGTTTCTCACAAATATTATTCTCTTCTCCTCTTTAGTGAAAATCACAATATTATAGAAAAACTAAGAAGATAAGAAAAATCCTAATTGAACAAGAGATAACATCAAATCACATCCAAACTAGAACAAGATAACATCAGATAAGATCCTAACCAAAGAAAAATGATAAGATCAAATAAAACTGTAACTAATTTATCTAATCCTAATTGAACTAAATTAAATCCAATCTTCATCAAATCTTTTTCCGGATTTAGATTTGAATCTGCCATGCATTGTAGTGCTATGGTAGGAGCATTGTAGAAGTTATTCTCAAGTCTCTGGTAACTAGTGTTACAAAAGGTGCTAGGCGGACTAGGTGTTCGAGCCGAGCCTAGCGCCTAGGCGTCTAAGCGTTTGTCTATTTTTAATTTATTTAATTATAATAATTCACAAAAATATGTATTAAGTTCATATAAAATTGTAAAAAAACATAAATAACAAGCTCACATCCATAATCAACCATGCATGAATACTAAATAGCCAAAATAGTAACCAAATACTAAGAAATATCACCATGTCTAACATAACAAGTCATCGCAATAGTAAATAATATCACAAACTCAAAAGTCTAATGCTCAAGAAAAAAAGGAATAATTTACTTTAAATGTCTAGCGCGGGATAATCATATAATCTAATGAAATCATCATCGGCATGGAAATCCTCCACCGCATGATCGCTCTCATTCGAGTTCATGTCCACGAAGTCCTCATCCTCATCCGTGACATCATCGTTGGAGGCAGGAGACTCTTCTTGATAGTAAACATTAAAGGCCCTGCAGCTCCTGCTTTTCTTTCACTCCTCCGGTTCGCCGCAACCTCATCCGCTCCACGTACATTCTCCACCATCGTCCAACTAACACCCGAACTGGGATAAGTTAGTTCCTCGTCATCAGAGGGGGCTCCATCTAGGATCCATGCACGTGATGTAGTACGATCTTGTGTTGTTAGCATGTCTTTACCTTCTCCTCTCCTCTTCTTTTGCTTGAGCTTAGCATTGAACTTCACAAACACAAGATCCTCCAACATTGTTGACTCCAATCGGGTTCTCTTCTTCTTGTGATTCTTTAAAGAAGAAAAGAACAAATTAGTAAAGTTATAAAGGGATAATTTCATCTTATTAATTTTAGATATTTATGTAATTTATCCTCTCAAATGTGCTCCAGTTCCTCTTGCATCCGGAAGAACTGCTAGTGAGATTAAGAACCTTAATCGTCAAGTTTTGCAGAAAGGGACAATTGCCACCATACATATACCACTAACTAGTTGCAAACACATTGTCTTAGTGGAATTCACCAGTGTAAAAAATAATTTATGATTGATAATTTGATATACTCAATTTATAACCTAAACTTACTTGGGTTGAAGTACAGTTTCTACTTAGTTTTCACTGCCAAACTTCTACTAACTGAGTCCTTACTCTCTCTGTACTTCTCCATGAACTCCTTAGTAGCCTCAATTTGGTGTTCCTCATCGGGATAGAGCAGCTCCATCACATCTAGAAACCCCTCCTTCCCCTCCCTGGAGTTCTTAGCAACATCATCTCAAAAGAAGTAGTAAGAGCTAAGGACATAAGTTGCATGTGCAAGGGTGAATATAATCGATCCTCGGACTTGGAATGTATAATATCAATCACCGACTTGCATAGGCTCTCCTGTTTCGTCAAAACAAGCTTGATCTACTCCTTTGTGTCTTCAAGCATTCCGAAAACAAATCCCATTTAGGGTTTATAGTCGCTTTCGACCATCCTCAGCCACCCTCAACATGCGGAAAGGGGAGCATAGATCTTCAATAACTTGTTTACTGATTGCTGTAGGCGTCAAAAAATGCTAATAGATATCCAAATACAGCTCAAGAGGAGATCATCAAAAAATCAAAGAAAAAAAGACAGTCTTTACTGTCTCTCCGCGCGAGACAGTGTTTACTGTCTCTCCGTACGAGACAGTGTTTACTGTCTCTCCGCGCGAGACAGTGTTTACTGTCTCTCCGCGCGAGACAGTGTTTACTGTCTCTCCGTGCGAGACAGTTATCAAAGGCTCAGAAACTGTTTTATAAACCGCCGACACGTAGCCATTAACTGCCAAAGAACATGGGAAACGCCGTGGGCGAGAATCACGTTGACAACTGCCAAAATAACGGAGTTTGAAAACGTGGGAAGGCAGTTACAACAAAAACTGCCAGACAGTTACTGTTCCCGAGACAGTATTTACTGTCTCGCGGGGACAGTATTTACTGTTCCCGAGACAGTGTTTACTGTCTCGGCCTCCAAGACAGTAAACACTGTCTCGGAAGCACTGTTCATCCCAGAGGCTATAAATACCCCCCGAGATCGATTTTTTTGGAGGAGGCTGATCAGAGAGCATCCACAGGCTGATTTCAGAGCAGAGAGGGCAGAGTACTCGAGCTTCTGTAACTCCTTGATATTCAGGCTTTGACTTGATATAACCTTGGATCGTTTAAAGGCAACAATAAATTGTCCTGAGAATGCCAACAAGGTTTTATACCCCCAGAAGAAGACGCATTCACCAAATGATATCGTCATACCTGGGAGATCATACCAACAGACGATACGATTTTTTGGCAATCATACCGATGAATCGTATTATCAAGTTGGGGGTGTGAATAAATTTCGAAAAAGAATTATTCGCTCTCATTGTTCCTGTGCACGACTTATAAGATCAGCTGTCCAAGATGATGAATTCCTTGAAGTCACCATCAACGTGGCTGATAAAAGAAAGTCTAAGCGGCATTCAAGTGACTCAAATCCTGACTTTTCCCCGAGAGGAAGAGTCAATCCAAGAATTGCTCAAAGGATGTCTCGACTCCAATTAGGAGCCATTAGACGCAGAAATTACAAGAGAATGCAAGAAGGAATGTCCTCGGAGGATGAATTCTCGGACACTTATTCTGCAATCGCTTCTGATGATACAATGTCTAGCACGGGACAAACCAGAGAAGTACTCACGATCACCTCTGATCAATTTGCTCAAATACTTCAAGAAGCTCTAGCCAAACAACGTGAAGAAATTAGAGCTGAAGTGAAGACAGAAATGGAGTTAGCTATCCAACAAATGAGAGAATTGCTAGCTCAGCGGCCTGAACCCCCTAAGTCCAGTCAATGAACTGAATCCAGCCGCCACACTCAGAAAGTTGTGGATGACAGTGATCCAGAAGTGGATGAAGTCATTATTTGAATTTATTGTAATCGAACGAAGATATAATGAATTCCACAGCAAAACCAACTTTTGACGCAAACAATTGCCACCAACTTTCACACAGGACAATAGCCTCCACTTTTCTACCTCTTGTCGTCTTGGAATGCTTGCTTTCCCTCCATTCTTCATTAGAAAACATGAGTCTTAGCTTCAGCCTTCAGCTTCTTCTCATGAACACTCCGCAGGGTTAAGAATGCAGTGGCGAAACGAGTGACTTAGGGTCTAACAATCTCCCTCATCTCACACACGCGACACATCATGTTCAAGATATTATGGTGGTTATAGATGAAGACGGTAAGGGCATTCGCTTTATCAATGGTTGTTTTGAAGGTTTGCAACTTCACGATACTCTCAAGCATCAGGTCAATAGTATGAGATGCACAACTGGTCTAAAAGATACTCGGCTTCTTCTCCTTCAATTTCTGCTTTGCCGCTATATTTGTAGAAGCATTATCTGTGGCAACTTGGATGACCACAATCTCCTTAGTGCATGCATCCACCCACTTAAAATGTATTCTCTCGTGTGCCAGTCCCCAGAGCACTCAATCGACTTGTAGAGAGTCATGCCTAGCCTATTGTGGATGCACAAGGTTCGTGATCGACCGCCTCTTCCTATCTGACCAAGCATTTGTCATGATAGAATAACCACTCTTCCCCTGCTCCTCATGCTCCTTCAATCATTCGTAGCACCCCTCAATAACGACTTCCTCAATATATACATGCTAGGCGGTCGATAGGTACGCCCACAATCCCTAATAGCACTGCATATTCGTCAATGTTACAGAAGACGCTAGACGGGCTAGGCGTTTGGTTGAGCAAGCGTCTAGCGCCTAGACCCTTAGGCGTAGCCTATGTTGCGCCTAGACGTTTGACTATTTTTTAAATTATTTAATTATAATAATTAATAAAAATATATATTAAATTCATATAAATTTGTCAAAAAAATAGATAGCAATCTTAGATTCATAATAAACTGTACATACTTAAATACTAAATAGCCAAAATCAGTGTTATCGAGGCGCAAAGCG